TGTGGTCTTGCATTATCTTCTTGGAAGATGGCGTTCGGCAAGCTTCGAATATAGGGCACAACCGCTGGACGTAAGATGTCAGAAATGTACCGATTTGTGTTCAAATTGCGGTCAATCCGAACTAACGATGCGCGTATCGTGTACCCAATGGCTTCCCCAACTATCACACCAGATGCGTGGCCCCTAGGCCAATATCGAATGCAAGGAGGTGATGTGCGGCTTCCTTTCAGCCTCCAGACACGTATACGGCCACCCGAACACTGCACGCAGAAGTAGGATTTGTCTGAAAAGACGAATTGTGCCACTCTTGTATGCAATTTTGTCGCTCGTCGCACCAGAGTCGTCGTCTCTCTCTATGCTGCACTGTCAAGAGAAGCCGAAGTAATGTTCGCTGTACTGATAGTCCATGCTCCTCAAACTTCGACCCTCCGTACGAGCCGATATTGGGCGTACTGCAAACATGCCTATTTCCTGATTAATGGTCCGTGATATGGTTGTAAGGATTTGCAGCGTTGACCTCACAATATGTCTGTCCTCTCGGTAGTTAGTCATGGGAGGACACTGAGACCATGCATGCCGTTCAGTATCACCCTCAGCAATCCATTGATTCCATATTCGCATGACAATGGTTGGATGTCAGACAGTGCGACGCGCGATATTACGGAATGATAACACACACTCTCGATAGGCAACGATCCTGCCTCTGTCGAATTCCGACACTTGCTGGTAAGCATTTATTATTATTATGCGAGGCATAACACGATATTCTGAGCAAACTCCGACCTCACAAAGCGCTTTCCGAATGGGAAATCCACTACACAACTTGTCTTTTATGAAGCGCTTCAGATGATATTTCTCCCTCCAGCGTCGTCTAAATGCACTGAAAGACTAATCATGTGCACATCCAAACCTCTTCTTCCTTTCATGTGATTTTGACGTTCGTCAGATCATTCCTTCCTGGTGCTACAATTTTAATGGCCAGCAGTGTATTAAATCGATATATTTTCTTTTCCAACAATATTTCTAGCCACTGCTAGCCAATGCTGAAAAGGCAAGTGCCCACCATAGGGGGAGGGAATCTTTCTATGAGAGTTAAGAAAAAAACAAAGGAAAACAAAATTGTTAATATTCCTTAAGACTTGTAAATGAATTATTACAAAATATAAGGAAGTTATTATTTTAATTCTTATCGAAATTTTGTCCGTTTATTCAACAATGTACATTCTAAAATTTTACTTCACAAGTGTCTTAAGTACGCATAACATCTCATGTATTATGCTTGTTTCCCAGTACTAATAATTCTTTATTAAATTGTTAGCCGAAAAGGGCGTTAGGTAGAATGGGCTGGTAGTCTCGAAACGGGATTTTCGTCGTCCACTATAAACGGTAAATCACTTTTTATATTGTTGCCACCAAGTATTATCACCCTCTATTATTTTTAAAGAAATTAAAATAATGAAGAATCTGCATGTATATATGTATGTTCCTCGTACTGTGAAAAAACGAGGTTACCTAAAGCCATCTCCACCCGAACATGTGCACCTGAAAGTTCGGATTTTGAATTTTATGTTTCACATTTTACAAAACTTGAATGAATTTTTTATTTACAAACTCAACGATATGAAAGCGCGTAACACTCTACGGAATAAAAAAATTTTACCTTCAGCAAGCGAGACTTAAGTGTAAAAATATGCTGTTTTTAAATACACTCTTTTGCAAAAAAATCGAAGCACCATAAAGGAAGCTGTTGTTTTTGATGAAATTGAATGTGTGTAGGCTCATACACAGATAATACAATGATTAAAAAATTAAGGTCATAGTACCTGTTCACGGCTCACAATCACCCATTGAGGGATCAAATTAGTAGTTGGTCGAACCGCCCCTGGTGACAATGCATGCTTGAATTCGTCGAGGCAAGGAGTGGTAGAGATTCCTAATGTCATCCTGCGACAGATTCTGCCAGGCAAAAACCAGTTGTCGTCCTAGATCTGCGATATTTTGTAGTGCCCGAATCTGGCCGCCTACCATGCTCCAGATATGCTCGATTGGTGGGAGACAGTGCAGAGATATGCGAGCGGTATGTGGCCTGGCATTATCTTGTTGGAAAATGGCCTCAGGATGACTTACCATGAAGGGTATGCAACCGCCGCATGGTATCAACATATCGTTGAGCTGTGTTAAAGAGTACGGAGAATGACTAAATATGAATGCGTCTAAGAAAAGAGCCCCACACCATCACACCTGGGGTTTGATTGGGACTACTGGCCCCGTCTTTTCACACGAACACGGTGGTCATCTGCTTCAAGAGTGAGGGGATTCATCGCTGAACACTGCGATGCTATGATGGAGCCATGATGATCGCTGCGACACCACTCCAGACGACTCCGGATGTTGTGAGATCAAAGTCAAACTCTTAAAGGCCTCTGTGAGCACCGCCTCGACAAGCGCCGTGAGTGATGGGCGGTACCACGGGGGTATAGACGTGGCGTAGTGCGTTGATAGTCGACAATGATACCGTTGGGTTGGTTCGGGCCTGGCTTACTATCATCCTACCTTGCCTCGCATTTGTGCTCCTTGGTCTTCCAGAACATTCATTTCGTCGACAATTTCCTTCTAGTCGGCAATTGTAGCAGCCATTGCTGTCAACATCTTTGCACAGCAGTGTCTGTACACTGCATGTGGCGGCCTATTGCTCGGTACGACCACCCAGCTTCACGCAACCCTACAATGTCGTTTAGTTGTCTGTAAGGTCTTCGATATCGTCGTAATGGCATCTTTTGTTGCTTGTTTGCGGAATTACAATGGCAGCAAGAAAAAAATTTTTCGCCTCTGTTACTGGTTTTATACTTTGCGAATTGCACACTAGAAATGCGCGTATGACGCAATTCGGTTCATTTGCTTGAACTTTGATCATTCATGTTCATTAAGATTTTTTTTGCATACTAAATTGTCACGATCACAGAAGCCCTTCTTGGTGTTTCGACTATTTTTGCAAAAGAGTGTATTTTGTGATTTTGCTGTTGAAATGAATTTTAAGTGGCGCAAGTGCGAAGAACATGATATTTAATAAATAAAGTTAGCACACAAAACGTTAATAATAAAAGTACGCACACAAATAAAAAGTTTTGCAAGCCATCTTACTAAGGGAACTTAACAATGATATGATAAACGGAGAAAAGTCTTAAAAAATGAAAATTGTATGCTAACACTGAACACTGCATCGTTAATTCTAAACATATTCTGCTATGCTGCTGTAAAAAAAATTTGTAACTTTTTCGTTGGATTGTATATTGCTTAAGTGTGAAGAAAATGATACTTAACAATAAAGCTAAAAAGAAATGGGTTTGCAGGAAGAAGTGAAACAGCAGACTGGTGGTTTGCGAGTTCAACGAGAACTTAAAACCTTAACAAATCCTTTTGGGCGATCGTTAAAATCTTAGCCCTTTCAGATTTTTTTCCTTCTTTTCTATGAATATATTTGTCAATAATGCCTTTAAATGTGTACTTTGATTCTAAACTAATGAGTGGACTGTATAGCAAAAGAAACTAACTAATTTATTGACAGTAATTAACTCCATTCAGATCTATTACTTGCTCTGCCATGTTGCTTAGCCGAATCCAGATGGCCAAGTGAGCGTTTCTTTTCATATCCAATAGGTGGCGCTGTATTCTAACTTAACAAAATGCATGTTTGACAACAAATGTTATTCATACACATAATATATATTTAATAACTAGATTTCTTGATGATAATAACATTCACAGAAGTTTATAAATGAATAATACTTTCATTTTCAGATACATTTATAAGAAATTTACTTAATATTTTCATAGTTAATTAGAAGAAAATTTATGGTTCTTAAAAAGATATATATAAGTAAATACTCATTTAGATTTAAAATTCTTTCTTTTCCACATGTGTAAATCTTTATTTTCTATGCATTCACTGCCAGCATGCAGAATCTCCAAGCATATTTAACTATGCTTCTTTTGCGACAGTGTACGGATTCATCCCATTTTAACTGTTAATGCTGGTTCGATAAAGACAACTGATCATCTTATCTTAAATAACTCCATTTCGGAAGTAGGTTTAAAATAAATATTGAATCGCCAGCCGGACTGTTACACAGCATGTGTAATAACAGAAAAAAATCTCGCAACTTGCAGGAAATCAGAGTAAATGGTTAAAATAAAACTCAGTTACGAAATTGCAAGGTAAAGCGCGCTTTCAAACTCTGGCTCAAGCTCTCTTTCGAGCAATTACAGCTACGAAAGCCGAAATAAGTGATGCAGTCGCTAAAAGAAGCAATAGTAAGACTGATTGAGACTGTCAAAAGCTTCCTTCTGAACTCAAGATGTAAGTACTTAAATTTATTAAGTAATTTGGATCCTGCTGGAGCCAACGAAAGTAGCAGTAAAGGCAAGGCAATAAGATAACTTGTTTCATAAATGTAAAACTAGGCAAGCTTTTAAGTGAAACGATGAACATTTTATGTGCAACTAGCTAGGCAAATCCCGCCTTAAAAAAAATATATAGATAGGTATCATATATTTTTTTTTTTTTAAACATTTTCAAGTGCGTAATCATTTATTCGTTAAAATTACTAAAAATTGCATTTTCTAAGATTTAAAACGCTCAGTATTTTCATTGAAAAGGATAATGATACCGAGAATACACAAGATATTATTTCGTTAAAAAAATAACACTTTTGATTAAAAATTTGAGTCCCTGGAGCTAATTAAAAGTTAAGTTTTCTTTGTTCATTAGCTGGAAGAAAAAGAAAAAGAAGTTGGTATGAGAATTTTTAACGTACTCATCGAATAATTCGAAAATTCGATGTATCCGAAATAAATGAGAGTGGAATATATTATGCATTCATATAGTTTTGAGGTTATGAGCTTATGAAGCAAGTATGACTTTCTGTTTCACCAATAACAAATTGCTTTCTCTGGAACAGGAAAGTTATTTCGACCAATAGCAGGTTTTTCCACACTGGGACCAGGAAAGTTTAGCATGAAAATTCTATTTTTTTCTTGAAAGCAACCGCAATCGCAGCGCCTGAAGAAAAAGGAGGAATATAAAATGCAAAACGGGCGTAGTCTATGTCTTCCCTTTCTTCTTGTTCTCACAGCTGCTGTTAAAAGTATCGTGAGTATTATAGTATAAATTTTTTGATGTGTTCAATCTTTTAGTAAAGCATAAGATTATTTTCACTTCAAATTTTACAAATAAGACGTGCAGATGAAATGCGTTTTAATTATAAGGACAGAAAAAACGTTTTTAAAAATAATTAGAATAAAAAATTGTTGTAAATTAGATAACTGCAAAAAAATATGAGAAATTCTTTTGATTTATGGAACTACGGAGTTCTGGGAAAGAGCAGCTTATAAAAAAAATCATGCGATTTAAATGCGCAATATAAATAAAAAAGCGCAATTTGTATTGCGCTTTTTCATTAGTTCCTTCAGTATAACTGAATTTTATTTTGCTTTCTGCAGCAAGAGTTATTTAACAGAAAGAAAAGGAACGCTCGAACTTGAACAAATATACAGATAAAGGAATTTTAAAATAATATGAAAAACATTCCCATTTCTCATGAAATTTCATACTGAGTTTAACCTATTTTCTTTTTGAAGTAAGGCAGTGACAGAATATATTAAGTGCGTTACTTAATATTAATATCTTCTAACAGCAATTCGTTTTCTTTCAGTAAGCGGATTTCGTGTCCTCACAAAATAAAAAGTACTGTCACTTTAGGAAAATATTTGTTGCAGGCCTCGTAGGCAAGCAATCCAATTAAATCGACACGCAGCTATTTCTTGGATAATTCTGTCACTTCTTTATTAAATATGTAAGCGAATCTCCATATGTAACGTTAATTTGCTGTAAAATAACATCGTAGCAAGTTTAGCTTTCCATCATTAGTTTCCTCTATTTTGAGCCCACCAGCGGCCGAGCGGTAAAGTCGCTAAACACTGGTAGTTCGGTCCGAGGTTCGAATCCTGCGAACGGCGGGCTGCATGGGTGTCTTCGTGGTTTCCCCATGTGTAAGTGTTACGAGCCAATTCCTTACAACGTCCACGAAGGCATCCCTCCCCTTAGGCGGATAGCCCTAGTGTGCTTTGCCATAATTAAATACACACTTCTATTTTGAATAGCTCATTTTGAACATAAGACTTTTTGTTCGATATTTTTACCTTACTCTATTTTGAAGATAGACAAAAATGCCATTTAAACACTAGCAGCAAAAATTGATTTTAAAATAATCAAAATGAAAAATGATAGTATAGTGATAAATAAATGTAATAAAATGCTTGATCACGCATTGTCATCAAGTTTTACATTAAGTTATCAGGTATTTTATAGTAGTATCAAAAGGGAGCTTCAGAGATAAGAGGTGCAAGGCGCAGCAAACCCGCAGACGAAACTCGCAGGAGCAACGCGTAGCCACAGTTCACTGGAAAGTGTCACAATAAGTGTCACAATTTGATAAGATGTTATCTTCTATTTATTTTCCAACAACAATTATCTTTAGCTCAAATTTTAGGATTTCTCTTTTTTATTCAAATGTACCTTTAACAATTTTCGCTCTTATGTCCGAATTTAATTACTGATTTGCATGAATTATCATTAATTTTACATGTAAATTTTTAATTATTATCGTATATTTTAAGCCTATGTATTCCTTATTTTAACTAATTTCTTATATTTTACAGCATATTTATTTTCCTTAATCTTAATAATGAATGTTAATATTTTCACACCTTTTCAACCAACAAATTCTATATTTTTAACTTAATTATTATATTTTAAAAGCGTAATTATTCAAATAAGCGCTTTTTATTTAACATATTAACAGGTTCAGTGTTTCTCCTTACTTGCTTCGGGAACATTACATGACCTGACTCGGAACAGGGAGCTTACTAAAGCTATGTTTAATAAATGTGGGAAGTAGACAAGACACACAAGAAGGGTATACGAAAACCCTTTATTTTTCTCTCTTTACAATGATTTCCGTACTTCGGAATACAGAGACCAACCCACTTGTGGTCTGAACGTAAGAATATAAAATATTAAACTAAACTCTAACTTAACTTTGGAATAATAAAAACAAGGACCTACGGAAGATTGGCCTTATATTAACAGGAAGCCGTATGTAGTACAGAGAACTGTTAACACTACAATACGTTTAAAATTTATCAAGAGGATTAAACCTCTGGCCTGGAAGGCAACCAGCAACCGAGTGAGTAAAACTTCTAAGGCAAGCGGCCTGCTTCTACTCAACTCCTTCCTCTCTCTTGCTTGGCAAAAAGCCACAACTTAAGTACTTGGCGTTCGCCAGACAAATTTGCATAAATAAATTAAAGCTTTAATTCTGGCCGGAAGTAGAAAATAAGAAGTGATAGTAAAGATTTAAAATAAAATAAACGTTAGTAAAACTTAAGATCCTTACATACTTCCCGCCAGAGTTAATTAGTTTGAAACTGAGGTCTAAAACGACCTTGTTGAAAACTTTTAGCTCTAGAATCTAACGCGAGGCCAATCTTTTACAAAAACATTTCTCACTAGAAACTAGAAATTTAAAAAAAAAATTTGTTTTTACAATATCAGCTCCATGGACAATTATTTTCATCTGTACTGCATCTAAACAGGAGCTTTAGTTGAAATCTGGTTCCTTCCAGAGATCTGGAAGGAAAACTAGTTTAATGAAATGTTACACAATGAAATGGCAAGTAACATGATATTTATATTTCTCTTAACATTCTTATTTCATTCATGACTTTATTTAATTATCTCTCCCCGTGCTCTCTGACATGTGTTGTAAAAGAAAACACCAAACACGAATGTGTTTATGTCTAAAGTGTTCAACACTACCGCCTGCAATCAAAACACTAACGTGTTAAAATTCAACATAACAAGACCTCTTAAACACCCTATATTTCATCTCTAAACCCTGAGGTACTATTCTGAAAAGTGGCTAACTCTGAAGTGTAGCGTCAGAGAGCCTAACTACATTCATTCAACCTTTAACACATATTCACAATAATTTGCTCTTTTTACAGTCACACGAATAAGTTAAAATTTTTGGCATTACTTTCACTTTTAACCATATCACAGTATTTCTTAACATTTTAAAATAACAGTTCACATTGTATATAAGAACATATTAACATGCCGTTAATTTTACGCATTTTAAAACATACATTAGTAGTACATTGTTAACTTCTATTCTTTTCAAGCAAGTGCCAATTCTTCTACATTGAAATACTACATTTCAAAAGTCTTTCAGACTAAAACTTCTTTCTTGCCAGAATGTTTTAAATAAAATTTATACAATAACTTTTACAATATTTCAAGTATTTACACATTCCTATTATACATCAACTTTAGTTTTACTCGCGAGTAATTGAAAAACATAATACCAAAATAGGTAACAACTCATTTCTCGCCTTTTTGGCGATAAAGGTAGACCTCACATGAGGTAAAAAACTTCTTGAAATTCTGCCACTTGCAGTAAGAATGAAAGATTAACTTAAGTTTGCAAAGTAACATAAAATTTTACTTATCTTTGTGATATTCGGACATCCTTTTTTCTGCCCAGTCCTGGAAGGTAGCGAAGATTAGCGTTTGGTTTATCCTCCTTCTTGTGCGGGCTCGCCCTTCAGTGCCTTCCTCTAGAAGCTTTCTTTTTCCTTCCAGTTCGGTCACCCTTGAAGACCTTCTTTTTCGCCTCTGCCTGTGGTCTTGGCCGTTTGATGGCAGCTGGTCTTGGCGGAACCGGGACAACTTCTCTCGTCGTTCCTGCTTGGATCTCGTTGCTGGCTGTTCAAATTTTCCTTGTTTCTTTGCCTCCGCAGCTGGTGTTCCTTCCGCAATTCGTCGACATTTGCTGCGTAGAGTCCTGTCCGATGGGTAGATCTTCCGTTTTGGAGCCGGGTTATAGTTGCCGTCATTTCTCCTGGCTCTTCTCTTTGCATTCGTCGTACTTCTCCCTTCTTCATTCTGGGGGTGGTCGTGCTCTCTCTTTCTGGTCTGGACGGTGGAACGGCTTCTTTTTCTTGTTACCTTCAATTTTCCAACGGGGAAACTTTCTTTTCAATTGCTCCTGCCTCCTAATGGCTTGCCCTTGTGCTTGTCGTTGTTCCACCTCTGGAGCTTGTGCCTGCGGTGCCTGCCGTGCCGGATCCTGCAAAAGATCTTGAAATATTTGCATTTTATTACGATCATAGTAATGGTTTTATCTGGTCAATGTTTGCGGAGCATGGTTTCACCATTCCTGGCTTTTAACACCACTACAGCCTGAGTTATTTTTCTATGACATATGGTCCTTCAAATCGTGGAAAAAATTTGGCAGTTTTATCTTCTGGTGCTGAAGAAAGTGAATGCTTAATTTTTAATACTTCATCTCCTACTTTATAAGTTACTCCCCGTCGTTTCAAATCATAATAAAGCTTTCTGTTTTCTCTGTGCTACTTCAGTGTTCTTTTTGCTTCTTTAATTAATTTTTCTATATCACCCATTTTAAATTCTGGGGCTCTTTGTTGAACATAAAATAATTTATCTAACGGCGTTATAATCTTTCTGCCTAAAAAATAACTCAGCAGGAGTTTTGCCCGTTGTATCATGTTTTGCGGTCCTAAGGGCGAAAGCTAAATTCATTGACATAGTTATCCCAGCTTTTATGAAAATTTTTAACATAACTACGGATAATTTTCACTATATTTCTATTGACCCGTTCCGCTATATTTGATTGCGGCCGATACGGGACCATTTTTAAATGACGTATGCCCAGTTTTTGGCACATGTCTTCAAATATATTACTTACAAATTGAGGACCATTATCCGATATAACTTTTAGGGGCGCCCCGTATTTTAAAATATATTTATTTAAAATAGAATCAGTAACTAATTTCGCGGAGGCTCGTTTTAAGGGAACAATTTCGGTCCACTTACTAAAATGATCAACCATAACAAGGAGATAGCGACTTTTATTTAACTGACTTTTTGGGAAAGGGCCCAATAAATCGATGCCAATTATTTCATTTGGAAATTCGGATTTAATACTATTTAGAAACCCGGCCGGGCGGAAATTAATATAATTAACTGCTTGACATGTTGGGCAGGACTGGACATACGCCCTTGTTAAC